GGCGAGGGGTCACAAAAATCGGGCGGTTTTTGTGCCATCTGGGTGCTTTTTGGGGGGTGTTTGGAATTTTTTTATTTTATTTTATTTTTCCTCGCAGTACCTGAACACGGTGATTCCCTACGAGAAGAAGGGGTCGCCGCCCTCCGTCGAGGACCTGCAGATGCTCACCAACAGTGAGTGCTCGTGCAAACCCGCCCATCCGGGGCAGACAAACCCCTTTTTTGGGGGAGAAAAGTCCCGTTTTGGATTTGCAGCCCCTACTTTTGCACCGACACCGCTTTGGGGGTTAAACCCCCACGGGTTGGTTGGAGGGTGAAAAGTGCAGTTTGGGGGGGAGAGAGGGATGCTCTGAAGCCTGGTGCATTGTGGGAAACTCCAGTGGTGTCTCAGTGGGGCTGGTTTTGGGGAAAAAAGGGATTTTTGGAATGGGGGGGACAGTGGGGCCAGGCTCATGGCGTGGTGGGTTCCCCCTCGCAGTCCTGTTTGCCATGAAGGAGGGGAACGAGAAGGTGCCCACGCTGCTCACGGACTACATCCTCAAAGGTATCCGTGCCCCCCTCGTGCTCCCCTTGTGCCTCCGAGCATCCGCCGGGGAGCCCGGCTGCATCCTCGTGCGTCTCCCTGGCATCCTTCGTGCATCCCTCGCCCATCCCTCGTGTCTCTCCGGTGCGATCCTTCGTGCATCCTCGGCAAGCCCTGCCTGCATCTCTGCTGCGTCCCTCCTGCGGCCTCATGGCTGCTTCGTGCGCGCCTCTGCTCGTGCAGCCCCCACGTGCCCCCCCTCCACGCTCTTGCACCCTTTCTGCACGCTCATGCGCCCTTGTGCATCCCCCGTGCACATCCCCTGTGCACGTGTGTGTATCCTCATGCACCCCCCCATGCGCCCTCGTGCATCGTTGTGCACCCTTGCACACTCTTGTGTATCCCAGTGCAAGCCTGCTTGTTATTTTACACCTTCATTGATCGTCGTGCACTTGTGCCTTACCGAATGGTGCATCCCCATTCATGCCTGTGCATTAACGTGTGCGCTCATGTATTATCGCACATCTTCCTACATCCCCGCCCACGCTTGTGCATCCTCGTGCATCCCTGTGCACGCTCGTGCCTCATTGTGCATCCCTGTGCACACTTGTGAGTCCTTGTCCATCTGCATGCATGGTCGTGCATTATTTTGCATCCCCATTCGTGCTCAAGCATTATCATGCACATCTGTGTCACTGTGAATCCTCGTGCATCCCCGTGCATGCTTGTGCAGCCTTGTGCATCCCCATGCACATTCATGTGTTATCGTGCATCCTCGTGCATTACTGTGCACACTCGTGCATCCCTTCATGTATCCTTGTACATCCCCATTCCTGTTTATGCATCCTCGTGCACGCTTGTGCATCCCCGTGCATGCTCATACATCATTGTGCATCCTCACATGTCCTCGTGCATCCTCATGCATCCCAGTTCATGTGTTACTGTGCACATTCGCGCATCCCTACACACACTCGTGCATCAGTGTGAATCCTTGTGCATCCTCATGCATCTCTATTCAAGCTTGTGCACCCTCATGCACACCTGTGCATCCCTGTGCATCCTCGTGCATCATTATGAATCCTCATGCTTCCCCGTACACACATGTGCTTCTGTGGGCATCTCTCTGCAACCCTTGTGCATCCTTGTGCATTATCTTGTGCATCCTCATGCATCTCTGTGCATCCTCGTGCATTCTTGTGCATCATTATGAATCCTCATGGATCCCTGTGCACACCTGTGCTTCCTTGCACATCCCTGTGCATCCCTCGTGCATCATCTCATGCATCATTGTGCAGCCTCATGTATCCTTGTCAATCCCCTGTTTATGCTGTGCATGCTTGTGCATCCTCGTGCATGCTGGTGCATCCCCGTACTCTGCTGTGAATCCTCATGCACCCTCATGCATTATTGCACCTGCTTGTGCGTCCTTGTGCATCCTCATGCGTCTCCACACTCTGCTGTGAATCCTTGTGCACCTTGTGCCTTACTGTGCGTGCTTGTGCATCGTTGTTCATCCTCATGCACCCTCATATATCCTCGTGCATCCTCATGAATCCCCGTGCAGGCTTCTGGGTCCCCACACTCTGGTGTGAATCCTCATACATGTTCATGCATGCTTGTGCATTCTCGTGCACCCTCATGTATCCTTGTGCATCCCCGTGCGTTATCATGCATGTTTTGTGCATCCCCGTGCCTCTCTGTGAATCCTCTTGCACCCTCATGCATTATCGTGCGTGCTTGTTCATCATTGTACTTCATGCGTCTCCGCACTGTTGTGAATCCTTGTGCACCCTTGTGCATTATCCTGTGTGCTTGTGCACCCTCGTGCACCCTCATGTATCCTCGTGCACCCTCGTCAATCCTCGTGTACCATCATGTGTCCTTGTGCATCCTCGTGAATCCTTGTGCA